GCAGAGCAGAAGCTAAAATGAGCAGAGCAGAAGCTAAAATGAGCAGAACAGAAGCTAAAATGAGCAGAACAGTAGCTAAAATGAGCAGAACAGAAGCTAAAATGAGCAGAACAGTAGCTACAATTAGTCAAAGGGTAACTAAATTATCTGCAGTAGCTGAAATTAACTAAACAGTGACTACAATAACCTAAAAAGATAAACAAAGGAGAAAAACAGTACCTAAAATTAGCCAAACTGTAGCTAGAAGAGCTAGAGGCTAAAATTAGCTAAACAGATGGTACAATGAGCTAAACAACTAGCATTAGCGAAACAACAGCTATGGAAGCAAAACAGAAGCTAAATTTGAATTAAAAAAGTGGCTAAATGTAACAAAACTGCTGAAAGTATCATATCTGCGTCTGAATGGACCGTTGGTTTCTCACCCGGCGACGCCGTTCACGGCGTCCTTATTGGTCGGCGGCACCAGGAAGCAGATGGACGGAACCAGCGCCTCGTTGCCTTTATCGTTCAGAACCCTCCACTTGAAGGGCTGCGAGTTGTTCAGCAGCGCGCACTCGTCTCCTCGGTGCACCGTGATCTGAGGAGACGACGTTCATTTATTTAGTGACGATTCACAACAAACGTTTCTGCTGAAGCCAAAACCGAGTTGTTCAGTTGAAGATAAACAGAACAAAAGCTAAAGTGCCAAAAAAGTGCTAAAGCTAACACTTACAAAACATATTAACATTAGCTAAACAGGAGCTCAAAGTAGCTAAACACATGCTAAAGCTAAAGTTAGAAAACAGGAGCTGAAATTTCCCAAACTGTGCTAAAATGATAAAATGGCAGCTTAAAGCTAAAATAACAAAATGGTAGCTAAAAGCAAAAAGTAGCCAAAGGCTAGCTTAAAGCTAAAAGTATGAGAGGAAGACAACAGCAGCTGAAGCAGACGCTAACGGGAACAATGTTTCTAGAGGAACTGAAGACAGCCGAATGTATTCTGTGCCGAGTCCGGCTGGGTTTGGGTCGGGCTGTTCGGACCGGTTCTACCTCCATCTGTTTGAAGTCGCACACGGCCTGGATCGGCTGTTTTCCTTTGATGGGGCTCGCCGGGTTTCGTGGCTTCAGCTGGACGACGGTTTTCGCTCTGCGCTTCAGACCCTCCAGGTGCGTCTTGAACTCGGCCAGCTGCTCCTTCTCGTCCTGAAACCAACAGTCGGAACATTTTCAGCATTTCAGCCGCTCGGTTCTCCAGCCCGACTGCAGCGGTTCAGTTCTCCAGCCCGACTGCAGCGGAGAACCGAGCGGTTCTGAACCTGCTCCTCAAACTAAAACACGGCCAGAAACGAATAATCAAGACGTGAGCAGGAAGCTTCTCGTCTGAAGGGTTTGTAAAACACTAAAACAAAAGCATCAGAGTGTGATTAAACGTTCTGGTGGGTTCTGTTGGGTTCTGATGGGTTCTGATGAAACGTAGGAACTCACAGCGGCGTCCTGCAGCAGGTCCTCCAGCCGGGTCACCGTCACCGAGCGGTCACACGTGTACTTCCTCTTCATCGTGTCCTGCATCTTCCTCATCCTCTCCTCCGCCTCCTTCACGTCAGAGAAAAACTGCAGGAAGGAGGAGGAGGTGAAGAAACCGAGCTCCGGACCGTGGTGACCTCTGGTTCTGGTTCTGGTTGGTGAACCTACCTGGAAGTGGGCCATGTTTTCCTTCAGGTGGGTCTCGATGCAGCAGCAGAGCTGAAGGATCCAACTCCACTGAGTCTGCAGGGCCGCTGTGAAGGACTAAGCAGAACCAACAGTTTGGATCAGAACCCGACTGAAGCAGAACCTCAGGTTCTGTTGACGGAGGGCAGCGGGTCTCACCTCGATGGTCTGCCGTGCAGGATGTCCGTCTCGCAGCAGTTTGTCTCCAGAGGTCTGAACGGCGTTCACCTTCTTCTCCCGGAGCTCCAGCTCTCTCATCAGACCCTGCGGCACAGAACCGGCACCCAGAATCAGAACCTGCCTTTAAAACACCAGAAGGTTCTGATGCCACGAGAACGTTTCCGGCACCGAGTAGCTTTCTTTCTTGGAGGCCATGTTGGTGTTGCGTTCGCTCCAGTCGTAGTGCACCTCCTCCTCCTCCTTCTCGTTCAGCCACATCAGCTCCTTGGTGGCGGCGCTGACGAAGGCGTGGAGCTCCACCAGGTACCGCAGCCGGGCCTTCGAGGAGTTCTGCAGAGATCCGGATCAGTTAATGATCAGGCTGCTGGTGAACCTCAGGGTTTATTAAAAACTCAGCACCAGCTGATCCGATGGAAGCACGGCTCTGAAACGTACCAGCAGCTTCCCGTACTGCAGCTCCAGTTTGCCCAGGAAGTCTCGGTACGCAGCTTTACTGGGAGGAGAAATCTGACTCTGGATCAGAAAGAGGCCGGTGACACAACACATCTCTGATCATCATCATCTTCCTGCTCTGATGTAAATATTAATTTATGAAGAACTTGTTGTTTCTGTGATTTCATCAGAAACTATTTAACCCCTCGAGGTTTCTGTCCTCCGTACCTCGTCGGCCTTCGCCCTCTCCATCTTGGAGCGGAACTCCTCCACGGACTGGTGCAGGCCTCGGTGGCTGCCCAGCTGGGACTCCACGTTGGGCAGGTCGGAGCCCCACTCGCCCTCGTCCACCCGCCGCTGGTTCTCCTCCACCCAGCCCAGCAGGTCGTGGACGTAATGCAGCGTGACCTCGTCCAGCTCGGGCCGCGCCCTGGACGAGGCCTGCTGCAGGACCTGAGCCGTGTGGACCTGGCTCGTGTGGACCTGGCTCGTGTGAACCTGGCTCGCGTGGACCTGGCTCGCGTGGACCTGGCTCGCGTGGACTGGGCTCGTGTGGACCGGGCTCATGGGGATCTGGCTCACGGGGATCTGTGCGGCGGTCACGCCTGACTTCAGCCGCAGGTTGTACTCGCTGCGCAGGTTGACGAGCCTCTCGTGGAGCCGGTACACCCTGAGACACAGAACTGAAGTTAACGAAGCGTCACTTGATGAAAAGTCCAAACTGTTGCATTTGTGAGCACCTGCGGTACATCTGCTCCGCCTGCAGGTGGCGCCCGTCCTTCAGCTGCTGAACGTCGTTGAACAGAAAGCGGATCATCCCCTCCGCCTTCTCCAGATCAGCCTCCACCTCCGCCGTGTGCTGAGCGGGTCTCCCAGAACTCATCATCCTCACATCCTGCAGCTCGGAGACAAAGGTTCAGCTGCTGTCATCAAACAGTTTGATCTGCGTTTACCTGAGGGCTCAGAGACTGATCAGCTGATCTAATGAGATCCTCTGACAGACCAACCAGGAGCAGCCGTGCTGCATTCTGAGGTCAGTCCCAGTTTTAATTATTTTTTAAAGTTGGAACTTGAATATTTCTCATTTTCAACTCTCGAGTTCAAACGAAACAAGTCGGGGTTTCCAGAGCATGCTCAGTAGGCGTGCACAAAGGAGGAAGTGACATCATCATGTCAACAAAATCTTCCCTAGTCCATAAAAACAGAAACATCAAAAGAAATTCAGAGGTTCAGCAACGTTCACAGGCCTGAGGGATTTACTATCAATGAGGCGTTCGAGGACCTGTGACCTCTGTGGGACAAATGAACTTCCTGATGACTTCACACTTCATTAAATGGGAGACAGCCGCAGAATCCTGCAGGAAGAGAGGAGGAGTAAAGAAGGAGCCTCACCGTCTGCAGCAGAGTCTCCACCTGGTTCAGCTGCTCCTCACAGACACCCGACTCCATCTGGACCTTACTGACGACCCTCTGCAGCCGCTCCAGCCTGCAGGACAGAGACAGGACGGAGGTCAGAGGTCAAACCGCACCACGAGCCAACGACCTGCTGGGCTCAGGTGTTTCAGAGAGAACACGACTCACTCCGTCCTGTGGCGAAAGAAAAACGAATATCCCTGATGGAGGAACGCCATGATGCGACTCCGTCTGAACGCTGCGACTAACTTCTAACAGCCCGACTGGGAGCGGCGCCCTGACTGCCATGTGACCCAAAAATCTTTCTGACCGACGACCAGAGGCCGTTTTACTCTGAGGACGGTCGCCATGGTAACAGGACGGTGTCATGTGTTAAATCAGATATTTCCCTTCAAAGCAGTTTAATGTTGTTAGCTCTGTGGGACTTGTGTTGAGCCGAGGAACCAGCCTCGTGGTCCAACAGAACCGCTTTGTGTTCGTTTAATGTTTGCATTGGTGAAGGAGTGCATGTGATGTGGTTCTTCCTGTGGCCCAGTTACCGCTCAAACTCAGTCCTGAGGAGACGCTCCCGCTCCAGGATGGCCACGTGCAGACGGCCCCACTCCTTCTCCACATCCAGGGGGTGGTAACCAGGAGGAACTTTCACCTGACCGGACTGGACCGCACCCTGCACAGGTAAACACACACACACAACGTGCACCCAGGTCACAATGACACACAGAATATTTGTATATGAAGTTTAAGATTTTTTTTAAATATGAAAGTTACAAAAGCTAAACGTCACAGCACACATGAGCTAAATGAGCCGAACGTTTTGACAGATGAACGTGAGAGAAGTCACCTCGAAGGACTTGAAGATGCGTTTGGAGCGGTTCTTGTCCGCCTCTTTAGCAGGAAGCTCCGTTTCCTTGAACTTCAGGAACTGACGCCAGAGAACCTGGGAACAAAAACAGGAGGAGGTGAACGGGCCGGTGCCGTAGAGCCGGTGCCGTCGGGCTGTGGGTGAGGTTCTGCTCACCTCGATCTCCTCGTAGCTGCTGGGGAATTTCCTCTCCTCGAAGACCAGGACGTGGTGCCGGATCCACTGCAGCAGCACGGTGACCACCTCGTAGTACTCCTGCCAGCGCAGCTGCAGCTCCTGGAGGACAAAGAGATTCAGCCGACCAGCCGAAATGATTTTCACCTCACGGACCGAACACACTTCACAGCTGAAGACAAACTATCTGTTCTTTAGTAGAATCAATAAAAACTTCACCTTCAGATTGGACGGGTGATCTGTGGTCGGATCGTGATGTAAGTGCTGTGTGTTGTCATCACTGTGTTTTCTTATCACTGTGTTTTCTCATCACTGTGTGTTCTCATCACTGTGTGTTCTCATCATGTGTTGTCATCACTGTGTGTTCTCATCACTGTGTGTTGTCATCACTGTGTGTTCTCATCACTGTGTTTTCTCATCACTTTGTGTTGTCATCAGTGCGTGTTGTCATCACTGTGCGTTCTCATCACTGTGTGTTGTCATCACTGTGTATTGTCATCACTGTGTGTTCTCATCACTGTGTTTTCTCATCACTGTGTTTTCTCATCACTTTGTGTTGTCATCAGTGCGTGTTGTCATCACTGTGCATTCTCATCACTGTGTGTTGTCATCACTGTGTTTTCTCATGACTGTGTGTTCTCATCACTGTGTTTTCTCATCACTTTGTGTTGTCATCAGTGCGTGTTGTCATCACTGTGCGTTCTCATCACTG